TATGATCCAACAGGCTTTTTAGCAAGCCCTTCCTGAGCCTTTCAGAATGCTGCTGTGCTCTGTTTCTGGATGGGATGATCATACAGCATTGAATCTTAGCAGAATCTTCCCTTTTTATCCTTTTCACACCCATCTGCTACAGCTGCCTGGAAAAATGGGACTTTTAGCTTGCACACAATTTTGGATTGTAAGTCTTGCTTTTGTGGGCACGTTGGAGAGTAAGCAAGCAAATGCCTGCACAACTGAGACTTCCAGCATGAGTTTCTGGCAACTACAGAACTTAAAAACTGCAACCAATTAGGCCCTTCCTTAAGCAAAAAGTATCTGGGAATGAGGGTGTCTCAGCCAAGTCAGATGTCAGATTGTATTATATTTTTTATGTTTACAAATATGATTAGTATGGTTTCATTGCTGTATTTAAAAAAAAAAACAGGAAGAGGCAATTCATTATTTCCTTTTCAGCTGTGTAATAATGAGCTTCTTGAGAAATATTTTGATATCATGAGTCATTGGTGGCCATGGAGAAAAACATACTTTTTAAGCCAAGCTTTTAAATAGTTTCTAATTGAAAGAAAAAGAAATATTATTTTACTGGCAAGTGACTTGCTCTTCCAGGTTTATAATTTTAACAATGAACTGGTCTTGGAGAACATTATTTAAATGGCTTTTACAACCAGTAGTAGTATAGGAATAATGTCTGGGGGTTTTGCCTATATAGTAAATGTCTTTCCTTTTTTTACAGAAAAGATGGTTTTATCTGTCCCCTTTAAAAATCACTTCACATCAGGCAGTGCATCATTAACAATTAAAAAACTTGTGCATAAGCAGTAGAAAACTTTCCTGTAATGGCTGATGTAATTTCTCACTAATGTGCAATCACTGCTCAGTTCATACCAAGAAGGAAACACTGAAGTCACTGCTCTAATGTTTTGTGAAGACACTTCAGCTCCCTTGTTTATAAAAATGTTACACAAATACCATAATTATTTAAGATAATTTTTCCTTCTGCTTTCTTCAGATGCTCTCTTGTAGGTCTCAGGCAAAGCTCAAAGAGCAAATTTCCTTTTCCAGGCTTTCTGGAAAAGGAAATTTTCCTGACAACCTGATGGCTCCTCACCAGCACAGGTACAGAGAATCTGCTCAGCCATGGGGTTATCCTCCTGTGTAGGTGGCTGGCCCTGGGAAGCTGTGGAAAGGCTGTTTTCTCCACATCTAGCCAGGCAGCTGTCCTGCTGCTCTGTCCTGGTCTTTTTAGAAAAACCTTGGGATGCTCACAGTCAGCAAACACCTGCTGGTGTAACAGTTGCAGAGCTTTTGGCCTTTTTTCCTGGTGTTTCCTTGCCTGAGGAAGTCTTGTAACTGCAGATCTGAGGCCTGGGCTCAAGGTGCATTTCAACAGGCAAACTTTCAGCTGTGAATATGGTTTCTAGTGATTTCATTTCAGGTGTCCAATTATCTTCTAAGATAAGGTAGAAGGTACATTTTGTCTAGAGTGCTAAGAGTGTCCTTGAAAAGCTTAGCCTTTCTTCTTGAAAGGAAGGCTGTAATCAGTTGTTACCTTGCTTCCTGTTTTGCTGTAAAGAGGTGGTTGGATCAAACTTTTCTGCTTCTGTGAAAACTGAAAGGAATTGAGGGCTGCCTTCTGAAATAAAGGGCAAATGGTCTCATTTGGTCCCACTGTATTTTCAGTTTGTACCATGGCAAGGACTGTGGTTTTGTATTGGCCTTTACAGCACATTGATGTAGAGAAATGTCTGTGATGATATTAAGTATCATTGTGTTAATTATGTGCACAAAGATTACTTTGGGTTTTCTTGAAGAGGAGGTGAACAGAGCTAGGAAATCAGCATTGCCAGAGGAAGAAAGAATGAGCTAATCCAACTAAAACTGCAAGGGGAAGCCAGTTAGACGGAATGTAAATTTGCATGGTTGAATTTGGCAGATTCTAGTGTTAGTACTATTCCTGCTGTGAGAAGTTACAGAAGGATCTTTTTCTATTCTTTTGTAATGATCTGGATTCAGTTGCACATTTTGCCTGAACGTCTGTGCCTCCCTGCACCTTTAGCTCATGGCACAATATTTATAGCACTTTACAGGTTGTTTGATTTAGTACTGGCTCAGAAGGAAGACTTCTATTTCATGAACTACCAGCAGTACCCTTTTCTTTAACACTGGGGTAAATTTGCAGCAAGGAGGTTAAACCAGACAATTTTCTTAAATCTTGGAGAAGTTTGCAGACTGTGATGGAATAACTATGGGGGTGCATTTTTAGTATTCTGACACCCTTGGGGAAAAGAAGAAAAGAGAACACAGAATATGAGTTAAATTTGAAATTTAAAAAACCGAAATCCACAAACACACTCCCCCCACCCCAAATTTGAAAGATAATTTTTAAGAAAAAGGAGAAACAGAGCCTGATGCAGAAAGCTACTGAATTACCCTCCTGAATAGCTCAGCAACAATGTTAAGTAAATTAATGATGAATGGATAAAGAATACAGAAGCCAAGAGAAATCTCTGTGTTGGAGATTAGAAAGCACAAATACAGTGAGTCTGCCCAAAATTTATTGGGCTGTGTGTAATAACAACCAAACCCCCCCCCCCCCCCTTTCGTTGCATACATTACAAAACCATAGGAGAAACACAAGAACACTGTGTAGCATGGCAGGATGTAGATTAAGAAGACTCTACATATGACCCAGCCTCCAAGGGAGTATTTTGCCTATTTTGGATGAGGTTATAGTAAAAAGAAATCAGAGGTGGTAGAAGAGCACATAGTTCTAGCAGACCTATATAATCTCTGATGTTTGAAAGACTATGGAAAAAAAGAGCATATATAATTGACCAGGCAATAGGAAGTCTTCCTCTCATATCTGGCATTTGGAGACTGTAGCCTCTGACTGGTGAAAAGTAAACTTATTGAATAACAGAGCTGGGGGCAAAGAGGAACAAAAAAAGAGGATGACTTGAGCAATTTGGAGTTCCAGACCTCACCAGTGTGCAAAGTCTTGAAAACAGTTCTTGCAGGGAGATGACTCTAGAGCACATTCATGCCTGTTTGTGGCCATATCAGATTGGCAGTACAGCTGGTGGGCTGTATAAAAGAGCAGCAGTTTTGTTCTGGACTGCTGAGTGCACACTTTAATCTCACTCCTATTATTCCGGTCCACAAGGTTATCATAGAGAACTGAACAATCCCCTCTCCTCTTCAGCATTGATGAAATGTGCACTTTTCCATGCCTGTTCACCAAGGTCACTGACAAAAGTATTCCATTTCAGAGAACACAAAGGGGCATAAACTGAAGGGTGAATTAAGCAGAAGTAGAATGGTTTTTTTGTTGTTGTTTCTGCTGCTATTAAAATAGTAGTGGGGATGTGCTACCTAGGTGTAAGTACAGCACTTGAAACAGAGAGCCTTAGAAAACTTGTTAATGAAGAGATTATAGTGATCCAGGCTAACTCTGGTGAATAAAGACCTGGTTAAACAGAAAGACCTCATGAGGCTATTTCAAAATGGAACTTCTTGTCTCTTTCTGTTGTGGTTTCATCCCATGATGGTAGGCACACAAAACTGTATATTTTCTTAGCCCTGAAGTGTTCAGGTCTCTATGTAGCATCACCTTCTGGACCGAAATAACAGCAGTGAGATTGAATTGTGCGTTCAGCAGTTCAGAACAAAACTTCTGCTATTTAATAGTCTGTCACTTTCACTGCCCAGGTGATGACACTGGGAAAAAGTCTTTGCTGGATAGTGCAGGGCACTGGGAACAGCTCAGTCAGTGGGTTCTGTGTGTTCACATTCACTGGAAATAGATCTGTGTACTTTAACAAGAAGACGGGAAGAAAAAAGGTTGGGAGATGACTGGAGAAATAATAATAGTTTAAAAAAAAATTAAGGAAGCAAAACAAACCCCATCTCACGATAACCCAACATTCCACGACAGGAAACTAAATTTGAAGAGGAGGTTTAATAAGGCTGAAAATAAACGTGATTTAATAAGCACATGGGGGGATTTAAGCATTTCTTCTCCCTCTCGGGTGTATGGCGGGAGGACCAGTAAATGGCCATGCACGGATTCAGAGTGGATACCGCTAAATCAGGAGGGAAAAGATGATTTGAAACATCCACCACTGTAAGGCCAGGGCAGGGAGACTGTGACTCCACGGCCATGGAAGTTTGTGTACACATGGAATGGCCGGACCCGAGCCTTGAGGCCTTGACCCCTCGCTCTGGAGGCCCGCGCAATGGCGGGGAAGCTCCCTGGCCATTCCTCTCCTGGCCGTGTTCGCCCCTTTCCCGGCCCTTTCCCTGCGGGGCAGCGGGTTCCGGCTCAGCCTGAGGGCGTCACTTCCCGGGGCGGAGCGAGGCGGCTCCGGTAGGTGCCGGGAATGGCGGGCAGCGGCTGGGAATGGCGGGGATCGGCCGGGAATGGCGGCTTTCCCCTGCCCTCCTCCCCTCAGCGGCCGCCCCGGGCTGATGCGGCGCAGCGGGAGCGGGGCTGGGGCCGCCCGGGCGCCTCGGGGAGGCCTCAGCTCCTCCTGTTTATTTCTGAATGTTCTTGTGTCTGAACTCTCTCCCACTCCCTTTTTTCCTCTTTCTGATGGAAATAAGTGCCAATATGCCCTCGTCCCGAGTAATTGTTAAAAACAACCCTAAAATAGCCCGTCAAACTAGAAGGTACCGCCATTTCCATAAGCGTAAGGAGTGATTGCTCCTGGATTTGTAGTGTGCTGCATGTGCTCTCAGAGGCTTATTTAAAAGCACTATTTAAAATATATTTTCATTTGTGAAGTATGATAATAAAGAGATACTATGCTTTTGATTCTGTAGTGTGTTTTTATTGTGTCTGTTTAGCGGGAAAAGGGGACAGTTACTTTTTTTATTCAAGTGGGTACTGATAAAATCAAAGCTGATGATCAGGGGTGTACATAAACTTAATTTGAGTCCTCACAAAAGTGCTTTGAGGAAAGTAAAAATGTTTCTCCTTCTCTTTAGGCTGTCTGCAAATAGAAGTGAACTGACAACTCTGGTACTTTTTGGTTCCAAAGAAGATGAAGATCCCCTGTTTGCTGCTGAGATTCCCCCGTTGTTATTTCTCCAGAAGAACTTACTTCGTGAACTTTCGCTTCACTTCCCCAGCAGATTTCCCGAGTCTTGAGTCTCCCGGGCCAGCACATCGCTGTCACACAAAATGGATTTGTTCATCAAACACTTTGAGGAGAGAGCTGTGCCAGCAGGCAGCCCCTGAGCTGCAAGCAGAGGAGCTTTCTGACCAGGAGCAGAGACTCATAGACAGACTTTACCAGGGGCTAATCCAGGGCCACAGAGCCTGCCTAGCCGAATCCATTACACTCATAGAATCAACTCAGAGTAGGAAGAAGAAAGTAGCCCAGGTGCTCCTTCAGAAGGTATTATCCTACCACAGGGAACAAGAAAAGTTAAATCAAGGAAAGCCACTTGCCTTTAGAGTGGGTTAGTCCTTTTATGTCTTGTCTAATAGTAATTACTGTCCTCACCTTTTATTATCACTGTTTGTGGTTTGTAGTCTTGCATTGTTATTTTTTTGTGGTTTATAACCAATCTAGATTACTTCTGTCCAGTGGAATTATGGTTTGAGATGAAAAAATGCTTTTGAAAATGCTTTAGAAATTATCATGGCTTCTTGGGAGTGTGTTATTCAGGGTCGACTGTGTAACCATTATAAGGTGAAACATTAGTTAGTTTGCAGATTGATGCAGATGCTGTCTACACTTAGGGAAAGATGTGTTCAAGCACACCTGGTCTTTTCCTAAAGGTGTTTTTTTGACACTTCCTGAATCCCTTTTTTAGTCTACAAAAGGAAAAACATGCACCTTCCTGTTTTATGGCCCTCTGTTAGGAAGCAGCCTGATTTTCAGCTGAAGGAGACTTGAACCTGCTTCTCCTGGAAGCTGTAAAATGTTTTTCCCTTACACAGAGAAGGACTGCTAACATGTGTCATGCCCAGCTGTCATCTCTCCTGTCTGTACAAAGGTAGTAAGAACAAGAACTGGGGCATGGGAGTGAGAAAAGTTTGGTGCTAATCTTAGTTTGTGAGCTTTGACATGCAAATAAACGGCCTCATTTTTTGGAAAGAACAGCTCTTCAAGGTACAGCCTTGCTTTTCCTTTTGGAATGTTTCTTTTGTAGTAAATCTGAAAAATCCAGTTCTAATATGTAACATTTTGAAAGTTCTGAAGGGTAAGTCATACAGTACAAGTAATTTTATTTGGAGGGGAAGAAATAGATGTGGATAAACCCAATATTATATTGGTGTCAATAGGAGGAGGGATGGTGAGGTGCTGCTGTGTTGCCAAGCTCCTATTTTATTTTGGCATAGCTTTTATTTGCTTTTGTTGTGAGGCTGTGTTAGAGTATGAATGGCTATCAACTAGATGTTGATGGTATTCATGAAATGTATTATTTATTTGACTAACAAAATGTTTTTTCTTCCTATTGTGATTATTTAGGGTTGTCTGGTCCTCCTGGTGCTGGAAAGTCGACCTTCATAGAATGCTTTGGGAAGATGCTTACGGAAAGAAGCCACAAAGTGGCTGTGTTGGCTGTGGACCCTTCCTCTAGTACAAGTGGTGGTGAGTTTTGAGTCAAGTTTCTAGTACCTTGTCAACTACTGAAGTATCTCTTTGAGTCAAGTGGAAAAAAATTTGGTGCCTGTAACAGTAAAATGTAAAAGAAATCAAGTTTTCATATTTTTTTCCTATGTGATACAAAATTGGAAAATACGTATCAGTGTTGTAGTTCTTTCAGATTTCCTCTTTTCCAGTATTCAAATGCCACCTTACAATTTATTTTTCTAAATCTGAATTTTTTGGAAGTTGTGCAGGATTACTGATGACAGGCTGTGATCTGAAACTCTCCAATAAAAAATTGTAGGGGAATTACAAGCTGAGCATGCCTGATTCTTGGTATCTCTGATACAAATAATACAACCTTGATTTTGATCTTTCCATAAGGGGCAGCTGCCACTCAGCATCATTAATTTTTCCAGCTTCTGTGCTGTTAGAGGTGTGTAACTATTTATAAAGAATTAACTAGAGCATTGCAGTGACATGGAGCTAAGATGGACTGTGTTCTTTGATGCATGCCTTCAGGATGCATGAGTAGAGTAGCAAAATGTGACAGCAAGACTGCAGCAGCTGGAAGAATTGAGCATCTCTCATCTTTTGGAGTGTGCATTGAGTGTGTAGATCTCACTGAATGTGATTTGCAGTTTGTTTGAGTAGAAGGAAGGCAGGGACACGTGTCAGCTCTCCTAAAGCAAAACATCCAGCACCAAGGTGTGTCAGAATCATGATGCAGAGATTTGTCCCTTTGGACAGGAGCAGACAGGAATCAGCTGTGTGGCCTGATGTGTATGGGCTTCAAAAAAACAGTCAGGAGTTACAGAATTCATTCTGACCTAGCACAGATTCTTCAAGTTTGGTAGCAGTATGGTCTGCCTGTCAGGCCTTTCTAGCTTCTGGGAAGTAGAAGAGCCAGACTGTAGCTTCCTAGTCCTCAGCTAAGTGTTGAGCAACTCTAACTAGGATATTCTTATTTGACTGACTTTGTATGAGAGATCTGTCTGTCCTCACTCATTTATTGGTGGGGATGGGGGAGAAGGGGCAGTTTGGCTGTGTTGCATTTCTGAAATAATTTAACATTTAGGTTCCCTGCTGGGTGATAAAACAAGGATGACTGAGTTGTCAAGAGACATGAATGCATACATCAGACCATCTCCAACCAGTGGGACACTGGGAGGTGTCACAAGGACCACAAATGAAGCCATTCTGCTCTGTGAAGGAGGAGGCTACGATGTTGTTCTCGTGGAAACAGTGGGTATGTGCTTAGGGTTTGCTTTGTTTGTCTTGTTGTGACATGAAAATAGGCTGTGCTAATAATTGTATATCCCTGCCTTGATTTTGCCCATGTTTTTTGCATGTGGTCACTGCTTTAACACAAGTGCTCATTCTGTCTTGTTTTCTAGTCCTGTGTGTCTTTTACTAAACTGCCATGTTTCCTGTTGTCTTTGTTTTCTTCGTGGGATTTGTTTGTGGGACAGTGCTGGGATCTGTCACAATTGCTGACATTAATGGGACTGAAAGTTTGTAGTAAATGGTAAATTCTGAATTTAATTTTTTAGGTGTGGGCCAGTCAGAATTTGCTGTGGCTGATATGGTTGATATGTTTATATTACTGCTACCACCTGCGGGTGGAGATGAATTACAGGTATTTTTCAGTTTCTCTTATTGGTTACTACCTGGGACTAGGAAGAGAAACTTAAATTCAGCATGCAATAGCTGTGCAGAAAGTCCATATCAATATGTTTTGTCCATTATACTGTTATTATTAAGTATTTTCAGTGTCATCAACTTACTGCACAGTTAAGCTCCCTTTTTGATTTTAAAAGTATGAGGATGTAAACGCATGATACTCTGTGGCTTAACTTTGACATGTTTACTACTTATATATATATTTGGGGAGAAAACTAGAAACTACCAAATCATTTTGACCTGCTTTTTGTGCTGAATCAGCATGTCACAGCCCCTCTGGGTACTCCTGATTGCTGTCCCTGCTGCATTTAGGGCATCAAGCGGGGCATCATTGAGGTGGCAGACCTGGTTGTTATCAACAAGGCTGATGGGGATTTGGTTGTGCCTGCCCGGCGGATCCAGGCTGAGTACGTCAGCGCCATGAAGCTGCTCCGCAAGCGTTCCAAGGTTTGGAGGCCAAAGGTTTGTGGACTTCCCTGTGTTTTGTGGGGCTCTGTGGGTCTGGTTTGGTTTTGTTTGGGTTTTGGAGATGTGTTTGGGAGGTTTTTTTGTATTTTTCCCCCCAGAAAACGTGCTGAATGAGTTAAGATTGGTACCTCCTCACCTAGCTGTCCTAGTCTCCCTCGGCTCCTTTTAAAAATTGCAGTTGGTTGTTCAGTCTCAGTGTGCTGGAGAAGTGATTGTTGCTGTCTGTGCCTCACCTCTGATCTCAGGGTGTGCCACATAAAACACTGCAAAGCCAGTCCTCCTCCCCAGGATTTCTGCTCTGAGCTACAATCTCTGCGCTAGCAGAGCTATTACTGACATCAGGAATGGTGCAAACTTCACTTGCTTTTTGTAAACTGTGCATATCCAAAAATGCCCCTTAATCTACTTCTCCCTCTCTTATAACTCTGAAGCCTGTGATTATCTTTGCTCTTTCACTAGTTCATGTGTTTGCCTTACTGCTTTAATTTTTTTTTTCATTTCTCACATAATAAAAATGGCTAGATAATGGGAATTCTTATCCTGTAGGTCTTCAGTTTTAATGCTGTATTTTATCTATTAAAAGGTTTTGGTAGATTTCTAAGGAGAAGATTCATTACTAGTTTTTAATATGTGTATATAGAATAAGCACACACACACTCTCATTTCCTTTATAAATAAACTATCTGTAAAGGAGGTTTGTTCGACCCTGGTGTTGAAATTGACCCGTTAAGCTGAATTTAAATCAGCTGAGGATTAACCTTTCTTTTCTAAGTGTGGAAAAGGAGAGAAGCTTTTTTTAAAAAAAGAAAAACAAAAACTCAGGCTGTTCTATTTGAAAGATTGTGCTGGATTTCTGAAAATTAATTCCTGGTGTGGAAAGCAAAGGCAAAAAAAAAAATTAAAATACCTTGTTTCTGGCATATTTTAAGTGTGAAAGAATAGCTACCAGAATATACACTTTAATCTACATTTAAGTAAAGGAGCAATAAGTCCTCTTAGCTGAAGGACTTACTAAAAATGATTCTCATAACAGGCAGCTGGACAAATATCCCAAACAGCATGGATCTCAGGGTCTATAGAATCCCATATTTTTGGGGGGTTGGAGCGTAAGGCACAGATATGCTTAGAGCTTCATGAAGCAGGTACTGAAGGAAGCTTCCCTCCCACATTTCCTGATTTCCATGCCATCTGCCTGACCCAGTGCTGGCAGCCCGGAGGCCAGCAGGTAACCTGGCTTGGCCGTTCCCTGAACCCCCAGGTGATGCGCGTCTCCGCCAAGACCGGCGAGGGCGTCTCGGAGCTGTGGGACAAGATGGCCGAGTTCCGCGAGCTCGCGCTCGGCAGCGGCGAGCTGCTGGCCAGGCGGCGCCGGCAGCAGAAGGTGTGGATGTGGAGCCTCATCCAGGAGAACGTGCTGCAGCACTTCCGCTCCCACCTGGCTGTCAAGGATAAGATCCCGCTTCTGGAGGAAAAGGTTCTGACTGGGGTCCTGTCTCCTGGGCTGGCAGCTGACCTGCTGCTGAAGGCGTTCAAAGATGGTCTCTAAGCGTTGTTTGTACTCTGCTCTTGATGGGTGCTTTATGTGAAACATGTGAACATTAAATGCACTTTTTCCATGTGTTGGTTCTGATGTTTTGCTCCAGTGGAAATGCATAGAAAACCTATCCAGTACTCTGCAGAAGAATTCTGTTGGATTCTGTATGTGCAGCGATCATGACAAATCTAAACGCTCACTAAGAGACTACTACACACTATTGGAAAAAAAATAAACTTCCAAATGTTCTGTTTCTACATGCCTTAGATCTGTTGATAAAAACTGGATGGCTGTGTAGAACGATTGGCTTTGGGGAGGGCAGGAGGGCGAGGTTTGTGGTGGTGCAGGGTTGGATTCTGGTTGTGGGGTCATCTCAGAGCAGTTGACACTGCAGCTTTCCATTCTAATATAGCAGCAGCTGTTGCCAGAATGGATTGCATTTTCTTTCCTCACCTTGAGTGACAGCAAGAACATTGCACTGCCTGACAGCACCAGACCACAGCCTTAGTTTTAAATAAATTGTATGCATATAAATAGAACATAGTGGTGTTTGGTCCCTCTTTGGAAGCTGTGGTTAGTTATTACCCACTGTACACTAGGAGAAGGGAATTTTAACCATCCCAGTTTCAAAATAGATGTTTTATTAAAAAGCAAAATGTAGTTAGACTTTTTTTGACATGCAGACATCACATTAAACAAATGTTACCCATGATGTTTTAATAGCAAATGTCTTTATACTAGAATAATTTGTCTCTAAAAATAATGGTTTATGGTTTTCTGATCTGACTTACATTTTCTGGATTCAAACAAAATGGCCAGTCATGTTTAGTATTTTTTTCTTTATCTCTTGCAGAAGACAGGACTGCTTCCAACCAAAAGCACTTTTATTTTCTATTTTCCCTTGAGAAAAATCTGGAGGAAACATTTTCCTGATCTATGATCTAGAAGGCAGAGCTCATCTGGTACCCCCTAAATGTGAAGAATAAAGTGGAAAAGTGCTGATCTGACAGTAAAACCATTAAAATAGGAGAATTTGTGAGCCTGTTGGTACTTGGGTAAATTAATTTTTAAAGAAATATATTGGAAGTGATAATTTTCACAGTTTTGGTTTTCTGGACATGTACATAAAAGGTATGGTAATTTCAGCTCAATATCACCTGTTTGGCTTCTGGCAACCCAATTCCAGTAGAGCAGTGAATTGGGTTACTTAAATCCTCTTTTTACCTTCATGGTGTTTGTTTTTGTTCAGGGCTTTTCCCCCCTCAAAATATATTTTTCTCTTCATTCCCCTTGTCCCAGTTGTTACATGGTGATCCCAACTTTTACCTGCTAGGCACTGTTTGCAGTGCAACACTAAGGAAGGGCATTGTGGTGTTTTGGGGGCCATGCAGCTGAGGCATTTCTTTGGTAAGGAAGTTTGCACAGGGTAGCTGGTGGTAGTGGCTTCCATCACCTAAATTGTCAGAACTCATGACCACTTACTCCTGTTTCTTAATCACTACTTTGGGATTGTTGCAATCAGTTACAAAGAGGCAGCTGAAGGAATGTATGGAGTGGCAGAAGCACAGTGACTTTGTTCTGACCATGCTGAATTGTGAGAGAAATGCAGTGCTTACAGTTTCTTTTTTTATTTAAACAACCTCTGTTGAATATGACAGAGAGTGCCCCGAACCAAAAGCAACTTCTTGTGTCCTTTGAGTCTTCTCAGCTTTAAATACTGACTGTATTTTATGATACCTTGGAGAAGAAATGACAGGTGGGGAATGAATTAATGAGAGCAGCAGCATTTTAACCAGGGAATTCTCAATTGTTTGATAGTCCCTTTGTTTCAGGTGGCAGTTTTTGAGGTGACCTCATTTGTGTTTATCTGTTAGATCAAACCTTTATTATGGTCATTGCTTCTTCTGTCAGGACTGCTGTTTTCCGTGTCTGTCATACATGAGCTGCCAAGCAAGTAAAACAGAACCTGCAGCTTTGTTTAAATGACATCTGCTCAAGCAGAATATGTTTTACAGCCTCTTCAGTATTTATTTTCTGGATGCAGATCTACTGATCCACTCAAGCCGTGGGCCATCATTATTTTCTCATTTTGTTGCTTCTTTTATAATATTGTTAATTTACAAATGAACTTTTGGAGAAGTACAATGGCTTAAGCAGGTTCTTCAAACTGCATTTTCCTTTTAAAGCAGAGCATTAAATGAAAATCTGATTTGCCTTCTTTATGTGTTCAATTATGCCTCATACTTCAGTAGATGGAGAAATATCCATATATTGAAAGGAGTCTTTGGAAATTAAAGAGTAAATGAGGGTCCCTGTTTTGTTTTTCAGTGATTCCCCTACCAAACTGAAAAGCTGTACTGTGCAAATTATGAACTGAGCCTTCCATGTGGGAATGAAATAGTTTGTTTTACAGCCTGTAAAATTTTGCTGTGATGTGTTTTGTTGTGAGCAGTCAGCTGCTGCTCAGTTTATTGTGCAGTTTTGTTCATGTTCTCGTGGGCTGGGCAGATGAATTGTCTTCAGAAGGACTGCAGAGCTTCAGCTGGCCAGCTACAACTCCATAAACAATCCACTGTGTCCCAAGATAGGGAAGAATGTTTCCAGCTCATAATTTTTAGCTCTGTGGGATTAACTTGGCCAAAATGCATTAAAATATTGTTATTCAAGTAAACAGGCTTCTGAAAAAAGATAGTAAACAAATCTGTTGAGTAGGATGTTGACATATTCTTAGTTTCTGGAGTTGTCAAGCTGCTCTCATGTTAACACTTAAACCCACAGCTATTGCAGAATAGTATGGGAAAATAATATAACTTCATGAGAAGCCAATAGCAAGAGAGAGCTTGTAGCTGGAGATGTGATAAACTGAGACAACTGAGAGACAAATGAGTAGACAAATGAGTTAGAGAGGTAAGGAATAAACTGCTTACATACACAAAGTAATTTTCTACAAAGTCTTGCATTTGTCTGCAAGTGTGAAACTTTTCCCCAGGTCCCTGTGTAATAGATGTTGCTGGTATTTCACAGCTGGCAAAAACAAGTGTGGTGAGATCAAGTGATTTACCCAGGACTCTGAAACAGGTCAGAGAGTGTAAGGGTTACAGTTCAATAGTCTTTACTCTGAGCCCCACATAATATTTACAGCCACGTTACTTAAGGTTGAAAAAATGCTCTTAGCAAGTTCATGCTCTTAGTGTGACTTATTCCTTTCATATCTAATCTCTCTGTTTTCAGTGACAGGACCCAGTGACCCCTTCTTGACTACTCTTCTGTTGTAATGTCCTGCTTTAAGTAATAAAAAACTTTCCTTTGATATCTAATCTGCCCTCGCCTTCTGCAAATGCATTACTTCCTGTTGTGCATGCTGCTTCAGCCTTTATGTTCTCCTCATATATATTGCTTATTTGTGAAATCTGCAGTGTGTTGGCTGTGTGAGATTTTGGGACATGGGAGTTGAATAAAGCTAAAGAATACAAAGAAACTTTTTTTTTTTTTAAACAGTTCCCTTCCTAAAGTTTTCTTTGATAACGTGGCAAGATTCAATTACTGATTTGCTCTGTACTGGTACAAACATTCTTATTTCCCTTTTATTTTCCTTTCTCAGAGGGCTCTGTTTCTCCCTCTTGGATGCACAGTCAATAAGTAACATAGTCCATGAGTTAAAATGAGTAAAACATTTTTACACAGTTTAGTGCTTCTGTAACTATTCCTGCTGGAGTGTTCTGAAACTTTTATAATTTGATGAAAGATTGAACAAAAGTTGGTAAAGAATGTATTTAAGGAAACATTAGTGTGTTCTCCTGAAGAGTTGGACAGTCATCAGTGCACTGAGTGACTAGCAACAGGATTCCTCTTCCAAAAACCAGTTCAGCTACTCCACAGTCATATTCTTACAGTTTATTTAATTATGAGCCACCTCCCTCATAATGGAACATTTGTAAATTGAGAATAAAAATTTCAAGATTAAAAACTCAGAAGCAATTAGAGTCCATACTTAGAATGGAAGGATGACAGACATACTCTGTTCCCTCCTGTCATACTAAGGTATGGTTCAGCTGATGAAGAAGGAAGGAGAAGAGGGGCTGACATCCATGACGTTGTATGGAGAAGGTACATTAGGGAGCAGCAAAAGGAATGTATCTTTTTCTCTATTTTTCCTCCCATGGGAGCATAAGAATTATCTTGGATAATTCACTGTGAAGCCACAGAAACGGATGTGACAGTGTTTGCTGTGTGAGGCTTACAAAAAATTATAAATTCAATGCCTGTTTCTATCTTTTGGATTTGTGTGTTACATGGGACCATGTGATGCTTGTCCTTTGGCACTAGGTGGGTTTATTTGTAATTGTGCTCCAAGTGGGGAATAGTTAAAAGTTCTTGTAGTTTGAGTAAAAGATTGTTTACTTGTCACAACTGAAAAATGTCACCTTTCAGAATGCATGATAAGATTGCTGTATTCTTCCTTAAAATACTGTGGCAAAGTGAGTTCCTGCTCTGTCACTATGTCTTCATTTCCTCTTACATCTCTTCCACTGCTAGAGTAGCCTGTAAAAGCTTTAGTTATGCACCTTTTAACATGACTCAAATATTCATGAAGTTAATCAGGGGCTGACAACACTTCTGCTTTGTTTCTTCAACTGGAAGTGCCCACTACAACCTAAAGATTACAACTGTGAGGAGCCAAAGGCTGTTACAGCTTCAGAGGCCTGGGCTGACCTGCCCTGTGCAGGCTGCAATGGCTGGGGATGCTGGTGTGTGTCTAATGAGAAGTTGCTGCACGGACTGTGTGGCTGGGAGCAGTGCACACTCACACTGCTAAAGGTTTTCTCCTGGCCCTGAATCTGTGATCCTGTTTGTAGTTCTCTAATTGCAACCAGCAGAAGACAAGGGTGGTGTTGGTTTTTATGACTTGTTGCTTAGCAGCATTGATCAACAGAAGTCCAACCTTTTCTTTTGCTGTGACCTCGGTGAACCCGGGCTTGGCCGGAGCTCACCAGTGGGGAACAAGGGTTTCTGAGGCTGTGTGAAACTCCTGTGCTGTGCCTTGTTAGCAGTGGCTGAGGGAAAGCATCTCTTCTTGACCTCCTGGTTACCTTTGCCCTTTACTCCTCTTTCTCTCTCTCATCACATCTTAGAAGAAAGCAGGCACCGTCCTAGGAAGATTTGGAGGATGGGAAATACAGGGACAAGTTAACTGTACTAAGATGTATCCTGCCTCTTTTCAGGAAAAGGAGCTAAGCTGGTTCCCAGACTGTGATGTGAGACCCTCCTCTCATGGAAGGAGAAGGACTTCAGCCATCACAGTAAGGTCTATTCTTATTTAGAGAAGCTTTCCTAGTATTTCAAAGTAGGCAAAATAATCCATAGAGGAAAGGGAAATTAGGGTGCTAAGAATTTCTTGGTTTATGTCTTTTAGAAGGGATTTCACAAACCGAACCAGAAGTGGTATTGAACATGGTTGAAAATGATTGAAGGTCTGCACTGGATGTGTGCCTTTATCTGTTCACATCTGGCAAAGCCTGTAAAATAAGAGCAAGGAGTAATTTGCTTATTTTATCTTAAGTCTAAACTGTAAATTGTTAGTCTGACTGGACAAAGGCTCTTTAGTGACACCAGAAGCTGCAACATTTAATGTGCCTTACCACATCAGATTATACTGTTGCTCAGATGTCTGTCTTTTACACCTAGATCTGAGTAAGAGACAGCTGAGTATTTGTATACTTTTTCTGCCAGAAATGTTGTTATCCTGAGCCACCCTTATGCTCATGGACACTAGGTCACTGTACCTTGTCAGTGTGGTGGCTTTCTGCTTTCCACCCTGTCACCTCCAGCACTGGCTTCTCCCCTCTATCCATTGGTGCTTTTCAGAGCACTACAGGTCAATGTGTTAAAAGGTCAGCATGTGTTGCACAAGCCTGTTATGCTCTGGTGTCCCTCCTCTTCTGAAGTTTAAAGAGAAGCTCTGCTGTTCAGTTATCCCAATCTTGTAAAAATTATGGAGAGGACTAATATTGCTGTAACTGCAAAACTGAGATCAGATAGATCAGGTGTTCATTCCAGAACAGGCAGCTACATAAGAAACTGGCATCTGCCCTACATGCCATGTCAAAAGCATGGCAAGTGCATGGTATCTGGCAGAGCTCAATCTAGGAAAATAATCAGCAAATGGGAATTATGTTCCAAATATTGTTCTTTTTTTTTAATATTGCATGAATCTTAACAAAGTTGTCCACTTGGAGATCCTGACTGCTATCTGAGGCTGAGAGGAGTGACTTTTCATGCCCTTGCTTGATGAACAGAGCAAATTGTGTTCACACAAACAGGATTTCTTTATTTTGAGCTGTGAATATGATTTGTCTGTCTTCACTGAACAACAGCTGCTAATATCTGATATCTGCAGGACTCAAAACAAGAGGGTGAAGTAATGTTCTTAACTTCTGATTACAGGAGAAGTGGGGAACTCTGGTTAAGATCAATAAGCTTTTAGAAACAGTTTCAGGAAAAGTGAAAAATCCCTTTTTTGTTGTTTATGAGTGGCCCGATGCAGCACTTACAACCTGACTGGTTCTTTCTGTGTGCAGTGGCAATAGAAACTGATTAGATTTGAAAATTAATGTTTCAGCCTTCAAATATTGTTGTCCTTCACTTTTCCTTTTCATTATCCATTAGAATGTGACATTCTCAGAAATGAAGGAGTCTTTAATGTGGGCCTCTTTAGTATTGTCATTTCCACACCTGCAGCAATGGAGCAGAGCATGGCTACTGTACAGCACTAGTATGACTAAAAGCCACTGAATGCTTTATTTCTGCGCTGACATTAAAGAGTTATTTTGAATTATGATGTGTTGAAAGTCCCAGTTTTGTGTCTTGCACATTGCATGTGGCTTTCAGTTTAGCTGGAGACGCAGCTCCAGACACTCATTTTCACCACTCACAATTCCTTCCATGTTAGAAATGCTGCTGCTCCTCCACACCCTGAGGTCAGGAGAGGTCAGCAGTGGAGCATGTGCCTACACGTGATGGAATAAGGTCCTAGAATAAAGGCTGCCTGAGGTCTGTCCTGCTAGGCAGGTCACTTTTCCTTTTTTGGGGTGGTAAACTTCATGTGCAACGAGACAGGAAATTTCAGAGGGAAATTGGGATAATTAAAATAATCTTGTTTGGCCCATTGCCAATTCTTTCATCTCAGAAAACATAGCTGTGGAGACAGGCACAGATCTTGTAAACTAGTCCAGTCTGAATAGCTCTCACTGAACGTTTTTGAACACTGAACCTTAGTGAACACCTAACATGCAAAGGCATTTCTGTGGGACAGTTTGAGTACTTTTACTTTCATAGGGTTTTTTTCTTAATTGGGTGTTCCTTGAGATTAAGGCTGGACTAAGTGGATCTTCAGGTTAGTGCGGTATTTCCTTGTGTAGATTGCATCACAAAACCACTCCAGAAGATATTTTTATGAGCAAGACTTGTATACAAGTTATGAAGAAAAAAGATTGCCTGGAAATAGAAATTAGCTGAAATAGAGATTTAAATACTGCACAAACTGGATAGAATTAAAGCTACTCTTGTTTTTCAGTTTCTAAATCTTGAAGCCATATTATTTTCTCCTCCTGTGCTTAATCTAGAGTGTTTGTAACAAACCACCTTGTCTGCATGCCAAGAGATTGCCACAGAGAGAAGCAAACTGCTGCTGATGACAGAGGTAAATCTTGTTATTCTGAAAATTATTTCTTGGGCAGCTTCTCGGTAACTTCCTTTTCCCGATGATTCCTGATGAATCAGAGAGGAAACAGTTGCTCAGAGGGTTGTGCTGTGGTGCCACTGGTGCGTGCTGGGAGCCTGGCAGCTGGCTGGGAGCACCCAGGAGCCGATCCATAGGTGGCATTCCATACATCCCCTCAGCAGTACTTATGGAGAGCCCTTAGATGGTGCTGTACGGCAGCGCTCGGCACCGCTGCTGCCTTAGGGATGCCTGTGCCCCACCTCAGGGCTGACATTTGGCCGCGGCTCAGGCTGAGGAAGGTGAAACAGCAGTCTCTGGGCACTGTTAATTGGGATGAGTAAATGAAATCTGTCAGTAGAGACGTATTAAATATTAAATTCAAACATGGATTTCAATAGCTGCTGTAATTTAATCCTTATAAACTTGAATCATGTCGTGCTTAAGCTTCCATGCCAAATGTATTGCTCTCTGTCTGTAAAACAAAGGGCTTTAAAATAATAGTTAAGGAGTTTTTAAAGGGCATTTGAGGATCATCCTGATGGAAGAGTAGTGCTCACCCTGGGAACTTCCTAATGTAAATATGGGTGTGGTGGTGTGGCTTTCAGGTTAAATCTTCCAGGCTGTGAAAGTCTCTTCATTTCTGAAGAACTAGGGATGCAGATTTAGGAATTTGAGTTGTGATGTCAATTACAATGGAATTGAAATGGAATTTCCTCGAGCAGGATGGGTTTCAAGCCACAAAGTAAATTTTATTTGGAAACTCTTGGTTAAATTATTAAAGGGAGTTATTAGACAACTCTAAAATACTGATGGTATCTTTTGTAACAACACAGGAGAGAAGTGAGGTGTGGAAAACGAATTGATCTCTGCCCCTTGGAAAAGAGTAATGTGACTGTTTTTTTTTTTTCTAAGTTGGGAATGTAGCCTTCCTATAGTGTCACTGCATGCTTAGGCGTGTTCCATTATTTTGGTAGTGCTCTCCACCTGTTCCTGCAGCTTGAGGAACCCTGGGAATATTCTGCCAAAGCAAATGAAATATGAAATAATTCATGTTTTCAGAATGACTTCATTTAGTCATGACTTTTATTTATTTAGAGTGAGAGAGAAAGAGATGGTGTTGTTACAATCTCCACTCTGCTCTATTTTTTCAATCTCTGGAACTTCCCATAACCCAGCTTTTTTTTTTTTTGACATTTGAAATGTCCCAGGCCGCATAAACTGAGTATCTGCTGTGTGTTCCTCTCATCCCAGTAATCCCAGTAATTCTCATCCTGTGGTCCCTGTGTGCTGTTATTTTAGGTGTATCCTTCACCATCATGTGGGTTGTTAACATTACCCTGAACCCTGCTGCCATGTAGGTGGGACCAAGCACTGAGATTTTCTTTCCTGTGAGTTGAGAAAGAAACTCTGGCTTGAGAACACTGACAGGTTACTGGGTGGTGATTTGTTGCCTAAAGCTGGTGGCTATAAATTCTCACCTGTGAAAAGAGAACCTTGTAGCTCTGCACAATATGTTCTTCCAGCTGCAGCTGAATTTCTGCACTGTTAATATCCTTAAGCAGCTGCAGCAATGTGTCACACTGATCTGGCATTTTGCATCCCCAAAGCTCTGCTCAAATATTTGAACTTAGTAAGGCACTCCACTGAGCTGAGAGGGAGGCCAGTGTCACTGCAGCTTTAGAGAAAAAGAAACAGCACCTGGGAGGTTAAAGCAGCTTTCCCTCACCATGCAGCAAGTCAATGGTAGAGCTGGAATTACAGCTCAGGAGGTTCCTGGCTCGTGCTACACCGGGCTGTGCAGAAAGGTCATTTCCCAAAATAGTGCAGGAGGTTTGTTATTGATAATAGGGCAACAAAGGGCTCTAGATGTATTAATAGGTGACTGTGTGCCCCTCTTGGTAATACATAATTTAGCAACCTTGCAAAATGGGCTACATTATATTTTTCTGCAGCAGTATCACTTTCACAGTTAGTTTTTTCTGCTTTACTCTGGACAGGTATTTTTGTTTTGGCTCTTCTAACACAGTTTTATTTAAAGTAAATAAGGACATTTACTAAGTAGGCATGAAAACCCTCCTGATTAGCAGCCACATTAAATGCAATACCCAGCTCACCTTTCAGGTCAGCTCAGCTCCTCTGCCCCTTGGGAGCCACGAGCACAGCTCTGTCTGCCTGAGGAGGGCAGAGGTGACAGAGGATTTAGTGGCAGCCATTCCTGGCCGTGCAGGAGCTGGGCTACAAGGATGGGAGCCCACAGGGCTGCCAGGTTTGGGGATGGCCTTAGGGAGGCAGGCCCCACCCAGTGGGACAGGGTAGAGGATGCTGATCCTTGTGGAGAGGTTTTCATTGAGATTTGGTCCCAGCTGTTCCTCAAAAGACCTTGGGGATGGGATATTTGGTAGCTGATGTTGGTTCTTGTAGATTTTTATTTCAATTTGCCTTTTCTAAAATGCTGTTGATCCCCTTTGAACTCTTTTACTTCAGCAGTGTACTTACTGAAGGATTTTGTTTCTTCTCAAAATGAATTATTTGACCTGCTAGGTTATTCAGCAAATTCAAAAGTACTATGTAGGAAACAAGTTTATTTTTTCACCAAGCACCTCGATCTGTGCATCTACAATTGAAAGAATAAGAAAATGGTATTTTGCCTTAGCCAAGTCTGAGGAATTGCAGTGAATAATGGTGGGAGGAATGACAAAGCAAATAGGTATTGAATCAATTTATTCAGTCTCATTATGGTTTGAGTTTGGGTGAAGAGTCTTCAAACAGGGAAACACCAGGGAAAGAAATGTGGAAGCCAAAATGTGTAAGGAAAGTTAAGCAGAGCACAGCAGCATCCAGAGATGGCAAGGGTGCTGTTCTCTCCTCTTTGTGTCTGTGGATCCATGTATTGGAATTACCAGAGCAATGTGAGCTGCATGTGCTGCATGTGCCTTTTAATGCTTGTTGGTTGGAGTAATTGGATCCATTGTTGTGGGCATTGGGAATGCCAGCCTGGCTCTAAGGTCACTGACTTGTGAACATGACCTGCTGGAGGCCAAAGCCCTGGAGAGGTTGCTCTGTTTCATTCTCAGAGGTACCAGCCATGATAGTCACTGCTTTCATAAAGCAGTGTCAGTGTTCCCTGCCCTCATCTAGGTTGCTGTTTGTGCTGAATTGTGGTGTGTTTTGTTTTGCTCTTGTTTTACTAATTCATCTCTTAAACTATCTTCTGGTGCATTCAGAGTTTTTGAAGTTTGGGTGACTTTTTATTTTTCCCCTGTGTGTTTTGGTTTGTTTTTTTGGAACTACAGTTGAATTTTCACAACTGAAACTGGTTGATCAGAGATTGAATTGTATATGTTAGTGATTTTGTTTGGTACTTGATTGGGCATCCTGCTTTCATTCTTGCAGATGATGAAGTCAGCCAGATGTAGCCAAGCAGTGCCACACAGGAAAACCAGTGCACTTTCTGGGAGAGACAAAAAACTCTTGTGATTGAGCCAAATGATTCATGGCAAATGCTAAAGGATTCATAATTTCAGCCTTGACTACATCTGCCTTCCCTACTAGGGAACTCAGAGAGACCCAGTAAAACCTCCTGTACAAAAAGAGACAAATGTTCTCTCTGGAGTGTCTCAGTTCATGCTCCTGGTCTGGAGCATGCCTGAGCTCTTGTGGCAGAAAGGGAGGTTTAAAGGTCTGTGTGGTTTGCATTTTCTGGCATCAAATGGTTTTGTGGTTCTTCACAGTGTGAATCCTTTCCAGGAGCTCAGGGAGTTGCTGTCAGT